TGTATTTACACTTTAAATACTTTCGGAAATATTATATCAGCAACTCCTCCAAATATTATTGCTCACACGAATTATGAAGTTGATCACCTTTGTAAGGTACTAAATGTGATACTAAATTATGATTTGCATCGGCAGTTATCAGCGTCGACGAGAATAACATGGGATTTTAAAAGAACAAAACTGTCGGTTCATCGGTTTTAATAATCTATACGTACGTAAGTGCTCAGATCACTTACGTAAAATAATTAAGTGAGAATTATCTTGATAGATCAACCGATACCCTGCTATTTCATACGGAAAAGCTCTAATCTACGCAATCACGCTGCAAGGTACAATCTCGATCGATAAACCCTCCTGGAAATCTCGTTAATCATAATGCCTGCCATCCAACTGCAACGTGATTTCACGTCGTGAAGTTTTTCGTATACCGAATAATTGATTGTACGAAATGTTTTCAGCTCACGAAAGTCGTACGTTTCGCGTAAGTGCAACCTATCAATGACTGTTGCAAATTGTTCAGTGTTCTAGCGCAGCGATACGATGAATTTGAAGCCGCTTTCCCAGAAGTAAAAAAAACAACCGGTTTTCTTTCACATTTGTGTGAGCGACTTTGATCAGTCTTCTAACGATGATGGATTTTGTGTGACAGAACATAAATCTTCCCTGCAGCTTTAGGACACATTTAAACTTCGTGACAGCGCACCTTTATGGTACGACCACGCGGCTGACCCTTGCATAATTTCTGTGGGGGTCCTTCGTGCTTTAGGAGGTCTGTTCAGAGAGCTCGTAACTCAAGATCGTACGGTGTGTGCCGGCATCTGTAGCTTCGTGTCACATCCTTTCGCTGTCTGCTTAGTGCAAGGGCTACGTCATGCTCTCTCTTTCTACCTTCTCTCTTGGAAACCGATACGAGATAGCCATTGCTTCTGATCGCGTTGAGTCGAATTATTTGTACAACGCTTTCTACGTGATAAAGTTCTTCTTGTCATAGATTAGACCATCGTTTTAAAACTACACAGTATTCTTGTTAGCGCTTCTAACGTTCTGCTTGGACTCTCTTGTTTCCGCATGGTTTGCGATCGCAAACTTCTTTACTTTTTCTTCTAATACACTTTTGCTTTCTTCTGATAACAAGTTAAACTAGTCACTCGCAAATCAAGTCGAAGGTACAAAATTCTGTATCGAGTCCAATACAAAATTTGCATTGGAATGCAACAAAAAATAATTTAAACAGTATAATGTATTTCTTTCTGATTCTTTGAATATTACACGCCGGCTTGATTTATTATAGCATATTTACAACACCGATTATTCTTACAAGCTTTACAGCCTTGATATCGATAAGATAGACAGTTATCCGATGATATCGCATATGTACATACAGAATTGTCAATATGCGAACTTAGAATATTGCTTTCTTATATCGAATCTATATTTTATTACCTCGGGTACAGTACATTAAAACAATTTCACAATAACACGAAGATTATTGTATTAAAAGAGTCTGTTCCTTTATCGAGGGATTATGAAAAATCTCTTATTAAAGATTATAGGCGTGTATTTTATTAATGATCTACTTCGTAATATCGTCTGAGAAGTAAACAATGCCATAAAATCTTTTTAGCGATGATGAAATATTTAATTACGTAAAGTTAGGCGGTGGCTTCGACACAAGACGACCGCCGTTATCGTCACTTCGCGCCGCGCAGGAAAAAGCACGCGGTCCAAAGTGTCACGCGCCTTTCGCGCGTGTACTAAAAGCCCTCGCTTGTCACTCTCTTTTCACGTTAATGAAATTATCGTGCGCTTACTTAATGCCTAAATATAGAAGCGATCGCGTTCCACATCGTGGCCACGGTATCGCGACGGGTATTCTTTAAAAGAAAGCGCTCCGATAATCGTCGTGGAATGTGCAACTATGCGGGACGCGTACAAGAGTAAACGACCGCGTGTAGACTTTAACCGATTCGCAAAGCAGCAGTTTTTTTCTTTCAAATAAAATTGAAACTTTAAAACTGTATCCCCTAAAGTATCCCCGTCTAATCTTTAATAATTTTAGAAATTATTAATGCAGCGCCAAAATACATTTAGCTTCATATCGTAAAATATTTGTATCAATGATGTAGCAAATATAACGGGAAAGAATTTTTAAGCAGTTGACATTATATAGATTATTATACATAGAATGCAACAACTTAAATCTGTTACATATATTAGAAATTCCATTTGCAGTGCTATTATTTGCTTCTCGATCTAAGAAGATCAGTGAAATGCCTTAAAATGCACAACGTTTCGAATAAAGTTAGAGAAAAGCTATTCGTTTTCAGTGATTTATAAAATTAATACAGGCCTGAACTAGAAGATATTTAACTTCACGCTGTTAAAGATGTTTATATCTTTTATACGATATAATAGCATTAAAAGTGTCAAAGCAAAGAGAATTCTACCCATAAGCTGCAATATCATATAAAATACGCGTAGAATACAATTATAGGAGACTGAAATTTTCTAGATGTATTGGATACTCAACTTATGCAGTAGCCTTATTTGCTTCTCTGAGAAGCTGTCGGCGAAACTGTTGAAATCGTTAAATGACTTAACATGTACGTATAAGGAAGTTTCGAACGAGCAAGTTGAATGCCAATTAATTCCCTGGCGGTCTGGGTAACGTCTCAGGTGAAAGTAAACGAACATGAGAGGATACCCTGCACGAGATTCGTGTCACGGCATTGTCCACGGTATTTGCCGACGTTCGATGTGCCGCAACAAAATCTATTAACTATAAATTATATGATACCTCAATTTTTCGGAAATAGAATTTTTATTCGACACAACTGGCTATAAAATTTCCTTTATTTTAAAACAGACTGCGTTTCGACCATGGGTTTTGGTACTTTTCAGGTTTACAAATTTGCAAACTTTAAAACCAATGGTAAAATAAAGAAAATTTCACAGCCAGTTGTGTCGAATAAAATTTCTACTTCCGTCATTCATTCACTGGCTAAGAGACGACATTCTTGGATCAATATTTTTCTTCTAAAGTCATACAGAACAGATTTAAACAAGTGTCGCGAAAAGGCATACAAAATTTGTAAGACTGGCTAATGATTTTTTACAAAATACCAAGAGCCATTTACGTGAGAAGTTATGCATGTTACAGAATTTTAAAATAATTCCAACGATAATCTCTGTCAAGAAAACGCTTGCGAAATGTGTCCCTTGGTACGGGATACATCAGGATGCTACATTGCACTATCTATGGTCTTTATGAGCGACGATGTTTTCAAAGGAAACACGCCGCAGAAATAGTTTTAGGCTGGCATCGAATCGCTTCACAGTGACGCACCAAAAATCTGAAACTGCACCCGCTATAAAAACACTTTCGCGCGGATACTAGTCGCCGGCGAAGGCCAGTATATTATTATAATTAAACACGTATGAAACGCTCGCCCACATAATGTGGCACACAAGATATCCCGCACGCTGTTAATTTGACGTTAATCTCATCCTAAAATTTAAACATAAAAATCTCTTTAAGTTGCCGATAATAGATAACAATAATTAAGCTCTTTAGTCGGCATTAACCGGCCAGTGTTTTTAAAGACATTTATCGCGAAAAATATTACCTCAGCCGCGATTTGAACTTTCCTACACTCTGGGTCGAATTGGTGAGGCGCCTGCCTAGAGAGTAGGAAAGTCCAGGTTCGAATCCTGGCTAATAATATTTTTCGCAATAAATTTTCTCTATTAAAAACACTGGCCGGTTAATGTCGACTAAGAAGCTTAATTATTGCCATCCTAAAGAGGTCGAAATAACTAACGAGCCGTGAATTTGTAAAATAATATAGTACAAAACGGCTGCTCGAGAGTTTAGAGCTGCATATAAATGGAATTTTTTTATTTAACTAGAGATGGATCCGGATATCACTTTTAGGCAAAGTTCGACATTAAACTGTCAAAAGTTCGGATTCGACAAAGAGAGGAGCAATTTTTTTTCGTAAATAAGAATCGACAGAAAACGTATAGATGAAATAAAGCACACCGAAGTGGCAGGACACCCTTTATATGATTGGCTCCCTGGAAGTACATCACGATCTGAGGCACCGTATATCTAACGGAATATGCACACTACAGGAAGATGAATACCAACGGTCCATGCTCGGAGAGAAACCTCTCCTTTTTAGGCAATCGTGCATACAAGCGGAAAACCGTCCGCCCGGATAGAAATACGTAATTGTTTGTCTCACCCGTTTCGCGTAAGATATTCAATTTCATTTCAAGTAAAATTTAGTAACCAACACTCCGGCAAACCTATCAAAAAGTAGATTCTACAAAATGTTATTTAAAATTTAATTAGCGAAATACCGTCGGTTAATGTATATCTGTTTCTACTGAATATGCTATGTGTCTTTTAAAAAGGGGGACGGGGAAAGTAAATCGATTGATTAAATCATTTGTAACGAAAATCACGAAAAGCCTCAGAAAAGAAACCGGTATAGATTTAAAAGAAAATCCGTCGTTTTAACTGCTTTGTAGTTTCAACATTAAACAATTAAACACATGGCGCAAATAATCTCCATCTCTCTTTGTAATATAAAAATTATTGTGCCTCTAATGAAACAGTGAAAATGGAAGTATTATTGTGGACGGGATTGTGCACTTTCACTCATTTTTCGAGCTTGTCCCGCATTCCTGAACCTAAGATCGTATCTGTATTACGGAAAAGATCGGAGGGACAACGAACTGATGCTGCGACGGATTAGGTCAGTGACTCCGATTATGCTTTCGTCGCAGTCCCTACAGGATGCATTACTTGGTCAGCTGGAACGTCGTACAACTAATAATCGACTCTCCGCATAATAGTGAAGCCTTGACCACATGCCGTCGGCCCCCTCCCCCCTCCCTCCCTCCCCCCCCTCCAGGAATTCGAAAACGGCACCTTCTTTGTTATGCCTTTCGCTTTTAAAGAGGATAACGGCGCGAATTTTCCCGTGTTACAGATCAATAGCAAGTATAGCGAGGAACTCGCGCAGGAATGTCTGGAATGGATCAAGACGATCACCGGCGAAAACATAAACACCAACGGGGATATGGACAACTTCTACGAGATCCTGAAAGACGGAATTCTGCTGTGCAGGTACTCGAAGAAATCGTAAAACTGACGCCGATCTTAAATCGAGCTGCCGAAACCGCGACGGGGTGAAAAAAAAACGTACGTTCGCTAATCGCACTTTGTCTCTCGGCCAGACTGGTGAACGACATCAAGGAGGGCTCGGTGAAGAAAATTAACAAGACGTCGCTCGCCTTCAAGTGCATGGAGAACATAAACGCCTTCCTGGAGGCTGCGAAGTCATTAGGTGTACCGCCGCAAGAGACTTTCCAAACCGTAGACCTCTGGGAAAGACAGAATCTAAATTCCGTTGTTATTTGCTTACAATCTCTTGGAAGGAAGGTACGGTTCCGTTCCGCAAACGCGGATATACCGGGTGACTAAAATTTCGACATAGTAATTTTTTCATTAATCCGCGGCTATTTGTTTTTTACGCTGCTGAAATCTCTTTGCGTAACTAACGTGTGAAAATAAAAGTGGTTATTTTTATCAATTGGATCTGGTAATATATATTAGAAGTTTGCTATTAAATTTGTTTTCGTTGACAATGTTAATTTAATCTGCACTTAAAGCCTGATCTGTCACATTTAATATCGAGCATTGAAAAATATGAAAAGAAGATTAACGTAGAATCAAATTCTCATTGGAGGGCAGAAAATTACTTAAGGTAATCATATAATCTTGTCTAAGAAAGCGAGCAATAAATTTTCCGTATTACATCTTAATCATCCTCAATCACAGTGGCGTTAAATCATTATGCTTGTAACACAGAAAGATCCCAATTTCCTGATACAAATATTCATTATCTTTCATTGTTGTTAGATATTTACATCTCTACAAATGGACTCGTTATCAGTAGTCACATATTGGTATCGTTCCTTGCTCTTATCGTGTGTTTTAACACACATGAAAAAAAACGCACTTTACACCTTAATTTGTAACAGCTCGAAAATATCGATTTGGATACTCCGTAAGATTTAATTTTACAGGCGGGTAATTACGGCAAACCGAGCATCGGGCCTAAAGAAGCGGATAAGAATGTACGTAACTTCACGGAGGAACAACTGAGGGCCGGACAAGGTGTAATAAGTCTACAATACGGCAGTAATAAAGGTGCTAATCAGAGCGGCATCAGTTTTGGCAACACTAGACACATGTAAACATCTGCTTACGTATTCGCGCCGAGAGGCGAAGCCCCTCTGTTCTCACCTCTCTTCTGACTTTATTCCTGCAACAAGTACTCCTTTAGACGTAGCATAATAGATGTTAACGAGGTCCAAAATAAAGTGTACTGAGCGATATGTATATCTTCATCGCAACGGAAAACAAGAAGATATAAGAGTCTTCAAGTTAAAAGAGTGGTACAAGATATAACTTAAGAAAGAAAAAGACGGCTTAATCCTTGGGCAACGACGTACAATGGAGATTTCTCATACAGTTCACGCAGAATTTCCTCTTTTTTATTGTAATCCTAATATCGCCGGGCACCTCTCCCTCTTTTAGACAATTTTTTACAAAACGCTATGTTCTGATATTACAAATATATTCTATCTAATTGTAAGATATATTAAAGTAATTTTTTGCTATTTAAGTTTTTGCAAATTTTTATCAGTCCACGCATCCAAGGATTAAGCCGTACCTATATTTCGCTTTGATATAAACTATTTAATTGGATTGTTCGTTATCACTTTGTTCAAACCACGTAATAAATTCAGAATTGACATTGTATGTTGTACGCAAGTATATCGAAGCGAGCACTCTGTAAAATGTACGTTATATTTTATATTCTGTTTCCTGATCATCTGATACTTCGAGGTGAATCATTTTACGTACGTATACTATACATACAGTACTAGTATGTATTTATTAGCTATTGTATTTCACGACACATACAATCGACTGTGTAGCTCTCAGGATAGAAAATACACAAACATTCTTACACAATACAAAGGAACAAAGAATATTGTGCGTTAGCACTAGCTCGGGCAGCCTCTATAATTGTTGAATGTTTCAAAGTATATATTGTACAACGAAGAGAATTCTACTGGCTAGCTGCGCTACTGCAATTAAACATTTCAAGTTACGATCTAATCAAATGATTCTACAAATTTGTGTTGCACGAGAGATAATAATTATATATAATTATATATAATTATATATTAAGTATTTTGTACAAATATATATTGATGGTTAGAAAAATAATTTTTCATAATATGCTGATGATATGAGTTAATAAACGATACATCAATAAGTGATTTTATATTAAATATTACTTATGATGAAGTACAATTGTATTATACTTTTAATATTCTTCTACCCAAGGCAAGTTCGACTAATCGACTTTTCGGAATATTTACTATGCTCGACTTTTCTAAAGTACTTTATTTCAGGTCTCATAGAATGTGTGATATACTACAATAAAAGAAAAATACAACATCTGTATGTTCAGTTATCTATTAAAGGGATAATAATCCAATCCGCTGTTGGGTTTAAATGCACGTCTATTATGTTGCCGCTTCTTTGCTACTTCCATCAGCTTCTGCACACTAGGTCTGTACAAATGAGAAACAGAATACCGATTGCAAATCGTCACAAGTTCATATCACGAGGCATTGTGCAATGCAGTATCATAAATCGTACCTATACGGCGGTGGTAACATCTCTTCGTGGAACGTACATTCCTTTTTAACGGGACTGTTCTGTTTGTATATTTTTAATCTAACAATATCGATATCTCTGTTGCACTGATCCATGATAGTTCCGAGTTCTTTTGGCGGCACATCAAAGTATATAAAAAAGTGGCTGAAGATACAAAAGAAACAAAAAGAGATACATCCAGCCTGTGTATATTTTACCTCTGTTCGACTATGTAATAGCGAAGAAATAATTTGTCAATCCCATCTAATTTCGCCGCAATTTAAGACAGAGCGAGCTTAATTACGTACAGCATTAATATTAAACGTATAGCCTTACTTTGCCTCGCGGTGTACATGTCCGTGTATGCTCGTTTTGCATGGAAGCGGTTTTACTCCACAATTTTCAATTTTTCTGATAAAACCACCGGTACCCAATATCGTCTGAGCTGTTCTCTTCAAAGTTGCTACCAGCTCCGGCTAGAAGCAGCGCATAGAATACGCGCTTGTTACTTATTATTACAATTATTTTGTAACGAATAAAGATCTGATAAATTATATCATGCATACACAATTATCGCAGTTATCGTTTCTGAGATGGAAAAAACATAACCTATACGTTACGGCACGATACCTTCTTCATGATACGTAGCAACAACGGCATTTCGTATGTAGGCATATTTGTATTGTTTTATATTACTCTAATCTTCAGATAACTTTAATAACAAAATAAAGTTTCACTCCTCCGTTTCGCACATCCAACGCCTCCATGTGAATCAATGTGAATACGAGCACGGACACTAGAGTTTCTATAACGGCTGCGTTCGGCAGAAGTAAAGACCCTCCCCAATCAGAGTCTGGCCACAAGGAAGCACTCTGTGATTGGTCCGCAATTTTTCGTCACTTCGCGCGTTTTATAAAGTGATAATTATTCAGTTTAGCTTCCTCACCTCCAAAGTCGAATGAAATTAGGCCGATTCAACGCGTTTTCGCTCAAAACACAAACTCTGGCAGAAAAACGTGTTGCTCCGACCCGCCAAGCAAGATATAAGACGGTGATTTTTTTATAATTAATAACTCGTTAACTATTGCAACCATTGCAAAATACTAGAGCGAAAACTGAAACTTTTCGACTCAGTTTGGTCCGCTCTATCTACACAAAAAATAAGTCCCAAACATTCACTGACACCCTGTATTGTATATGTATGTGTATACAGGGTATTTTATGTGTATTCTATTTTTTTGTACACGATTGCTCCGTTTACATCGGATAATCATTACGATTGTATTCTGGTTAAATTAAACTTTGCAGTTTTTTTAGTTACAAATGAAATACTATCTCTCTCTTATTATTAAATTTAAATTAAAATGTTATCCGATAAAAACAGACCAACTTGTAGAGGCCCTCCACCACCCCCGCCGAATTCTTTTCGACGGACCTCTCTTCTTTACAATTGCAATACATTGCAGTTATAATTTTATCTATCTTTTTAATTATGGAGTTACATCCCCCTGTCTCTGCCTACCCGAATACCTATCCGTATTCCGCTGTATAGTCTTATCCATTTTCCTACCTACCCGCGTTTCAACTATTTGTTAATAAACCTGCGTGTCTTTCGTTAAAACTGCGACGCGATTAATAAGGGACCCGATTTGGGGTTATACGCGCGCGATTTAATAGGGATTTAATAGAAGTCTTTTTAATCTCGTATATATATATGCGAGAATATGTAAACAAGATAAGAATATAACCCACCCGAATTTTCACAAATAAGAAAAAAATCAGCTTATTTCGCACATCACCTTACATACTCTATTAGAGTGGCCTATTGACCACTTCCATCGTTGGGCCAGATTGGACATACCTTTCGTTGCTCCTGGCCATACAGTCTAGTCATTTCGACCAGAAATCAGGAAGGAAGAAAACTCCTTCCACAGTCGGTTTATTATCGTCACCGACAAATATTTCGTACGGTTCGAACTATATGCGAGCATGGATCGTATCGAAATGCACGAACACGAGAAGTTAATTAAAGAAAAAAAATTGATTTAAAAAATTTACCGAATAAAACTCATCAAATATATTTTTACTTCTGTTATTTATTCGAGAATAGATAATGACTGTTCGTGACTCAATCTCCAAATTCGAAATTCAATTTTAATAACATTCCGCGATAAATGAAAATTTATGATATGAATGAAGTTAAACAATAATTTCTTGAAAAATTATCTGAAAACTGATCGCGAAGACCGACCGCGAAAACACGAAGGCGCGTATAACTATGCATGTATTCATGCAAGACGCATCTTGAAAGTACATCGCAAGATACACATACAAAATAAATGACGTGAGATCAAGAGAAAAGAAACTTTCCGTACGATAGATAGACTGATAAGCCGACATTGAGTATTCTAATTAATCAATAAGCTCAAACAATGTATGAAAATAATATAAAGTTTCAGCGTTCTCGACTAAATATATAAATCTCACGTCATTTTGTTTTATTTTAAATATAAATTTGTTAATAAAAATGGATAGGCTACAAGAAATTCGACGAATAGATCAATAATATTCGTCATATTTAGCGTGAAAGTATGTGATGTGCTGCAACGAGGCATCCAACCCTTCACAGAGAAAATCGCGTTCACTCCCTTTCGATAGATAAAATATATAAAAATAAATATAAAATTATATTGTACTCTATCCGTTTTTTAGGCAACGGATCTACGAGATATACAAATCTACGATCTACGATCTCGACTCTACGATCTACGAGATGTAGATTCGTTGCCTTGATAAAAAAATTTCTCACTCACCGATCTGATGCGCAGCAGCGGAGTTTGACTATGTTGATTCTGTAACATAATATAAAAGTTATCTTAAAACAGTGTTCAACAGAACCAATATTGCAAGATATAATTTTTAAACGTATCGAATTTGTTATTCATGAGAAGAAAAAGGTATGAAAAAATTACATCGCGAAAGATTTTCTGCAAAAGATCTTCGCACGACAATAAATTTTTATAAAATTTCAAGTTTTTCTTGTTTTCTAATTATTATTTCAAAATTACAGTGAAATAAAACGACTTGATAATAAATTGGAAAACAGATTAATTGTACACAAAACGAAAAAATAATGCGCAAAAATTAAGTTGACGCGAGAATAAATGCATAAATAATTGTACTCACCAAAGGGTTGCTCCGCCGTCGCCTGATGCCTCCCAGGCCGCCACCTCCTCTCAGATTCCTCCATTTCACACTGGCACAACACTACACTGGCACTGCACTCGCGAAAGAGGAGCTATTTACGATCCCGCGCGCTAATTACCGAAGTAACGCACGACACGGCACACCCGATGTTGATCGACGTGGACTTTATTGCAACGAGAACGAGAGAGCGAGAGACGAAATTCGTCGATCGACGTCGATGGACAAGTCATTTCTCGCTGAGCGGGAACGTTCTGGCGGAAAGGACTCGCGGACATACGCGAGGCTAACTTGACGCGCGTCGCGAACACGAGAACCGAATGCGTGTGCGTTCGACGGGGCGATTTCGCGCGAACGTTTCTCTCGCCGCGCATCACGCGTGGGAAAACTCGGACATCACTGCACGCGCGAGAAGATTAGAATCGAAATTGAAGGGCTCGGTGTACTCGCGGCGTGCGAGGATACGACGGCACCGTAGCGACGCCGACTGTGCGAGATATCTCGGCCGGGATTTCACGGATTTACGCGTCCCGGTGGATCACCGACGCGTGAGGTCGAATCTACATCGCGCGACTGTTATGCTGGACAATGGAGAAAACTCACTGTGATTGCGCGTGCCGTGAAACGTCGACGATCATCGCACGAGACCGATCCGCTGCGTGTCCACTGGCTCCTCGAGTGGATCAACATGGCGCCGGTTCCCGGCGGCCACTGCGCGGCGCTACAACGGCGGTGCTACGCGAGGGTCAAGTCAACGACGCGATGTATCTCGAAGAAACGCGCTCACTCGGAAAATATGCACGTTGACGAAGCAATCGACACCTTCGCGGCTCTCCTCACGATTTACTCAATTTACTAATTTATTTACTTAAAGGGAAGCGAGCACGATTCGACGGTCTCCGCTTTCCGTATCTCGAATGAGGTACGTTCTCCGAGAAAGACGAACACGACGTTGCACAACACTCGCGGAATCGAAGAACTTGATCACACGGCTGTGGCACCGTTCAATTACGCGGGGAACGATTGCACACTTCGTCCCGTGACACTCGTAACCGGCGGTTCGGACGACAGTGCGACTCGCGTCCCTTCTGATCTCGACGCGCAGCGGCCGCGGCGGCGCGAACTACGCGAGTCGACGGCGCGTTGGAGAATCACTTCGATTTCAGCTCGCGCGATGCGTCCCGAATAAGTGCGCAAATACGAACGTGTTGGCGCGCAATCGATATCCTCGCGGCTCTCCTGTACTCAAATGACCGTGATAGATTCGTCTCTAATGTGAATAACTCTTGTACGAGACGATCGCGTTGCGTAGACGATCGAGATTCTCGTAGGAGATGATCGCGACGCGAAGACACACGGAACGTCCGTCTCGCTCGACTGATCCGCGCGGACTGATTCGGCTCAATAGATTGTTTATCGACCGAGGTCGGTCGGGCGCTACGTCATTTCTCGGAATCTCGGCTCGGCGACCGAATTGTTTACTACGTTACGTTTTTTTCGTTTTTTTGGAATCCGCGCTCGGTGTTCGGCCAAGGTGTTTACGGTGCCGTACGCAAGATCATTCACGCGACGACGGTTGAACGAGTCGGTTGTGTCCGCGCCGCTCCGTATGTCGTATTATTATTTCTCGATACGCGTTCGCGACAAGTACGGGTAGAAATCGCGATCGCTCTCTGCGAATAATCGGCGAACGATATCATCGCGTGATCGCAGAATTTTGCCACCTATCCTCGGTTAGCCAACAAGACAGATATCTAACGCAATTCACACGTGAAATCTACAACGTCCAAGAATCAAAGCGCTAGCTAACTTGAAATTACTTTTTCATTGCGATTATTACGGACAATAATTGCTTCTTTAATCGGTGCTTGTATTCGGATACACCTCGCATCATCGCAGCGAGTCTCTCGCTTCGAGTATAATTTGTTGACTGTTTCGAGGTTGAAAGCGCGGATTAATACACGAAATATTGCATCGAGTGTTTTAATTATCGCTTATCGGTGATTTATTAATACCACTATTTGTAATCGGACTCGGTGACAATCGGACACAATAAAAATCGCATACACTGATTATCGAATTACAAATGGTGCGAGCGGTAATTAATTTAAACGTCGAAACCGTCATATTGACGTCGATTCGATATCGTTTCGACGTCAATTAACAAGTCATTTCTCGCTGGGACATTATTTATGTTAATTCATCTTTAAACGATTTTTAAATGTAGGACACCTAAACTGTCCTTTTCATTACATACATTCGCACATGTGTAAGCAATTGGTTTACTATTCCTTAGTAGAGTCTGTTACTGAACTGGCTGCACTAGTTCAGAGTATATCTTTCTTCCTCTACGTTGGAAAAAGAAAAAGAAACCCTCAACTAGTGCAGCAAGTTGAGCTAAAATGAACAAGATCCCTTCATGCTGCATTTCTAACAGCTTTGCAACTATGTATTGGAAGATTTTCTGTTGTACGGCACAAGTAGTTTACGCTTT